GATACTAAAAACACCTGCTGCAGCCACAATAATTGCCTGCTGCCATTCTCGTGCCTATTGTTCCATCTCTTAGAATTTAGCAGTTACAAAAATATCTATGGCTTCTCTTTGTTGTAAGAGGAGCTCTGTCTTTCCTCTTGTGAGGAGGTGAGCCCATGTGATCATGAAGCCTCTGGTGGCTCCTCCTAATCTGGTCCCATTTTCCCCCATCCACTTTGTTCTCACCAGCAGCTTGGCACTGATTTTGTGCCACACCCTGATCAAATAAAAGAGAGCAGGCAAGTAAAGAAAACACCTCTTCCCAGATTTTCTGGTTGGTATAGAATTATTTCTATACTATTTGAGAAATCCAGGAGAGTATTAGTATTCCAGCATTCTCTTTTTCTTATTAACTTAAGCATCAAAGTCAAGCCATTAACAAACAACTATCATTGAACAGGTAGGCATCATCAAAATTTTAAAGTAAGATCCTTAAATTTTATTAAAATCTGCATTTCTGTTTTAATGACAGTGTGTGAAAATAAAACTTCCTTCTCAATTTACTGAAATATTTCTTTTTTTTTTCCTTTAAAGGATACATCCTATGAGAGGAAGTATTCCAAGTCAGTTTATACACACACATACATAACTGAGCTGCCTTTGGTTTCGTGATGTTTCCCACATGTGTGAGCAAAGGGAAGAGCATGGACTTGGGGCCATTGTTCCCTCCCTTGATGCCATTACTGCCTCGTTAATTCCTACTACTGTCCATGGGCTAGGCTCACAGACAACATATAATCTGGTCAGTTCAGAGACTAGGAACCCTTGATAAACTATTGAAACACCCATTTCAAATTCAAATGTTCTGAAAAATAAGAACTCAAACTCACAATCAAAATAAATTTTCCATAGGGAGAAATCAAACATTTCTCCACATTTAATACAACACTGACTGTAGTGGAATACAAGTACAGCATGTTCACATGCACTAGTGTATAAGGTCTCACTTTGTGAGTGAGAAGACTTACGTTCAGAAAGATTCATCGAGCTTGGGCTCTAAACCCAGGGGACTTTCTATATCTCATCACAGTGGTAAGAAATCTCATATGACATTGAATGGAAACTTACATCACATAGCTGATACAGCCACTGCTTTCAGTTGTACTGAGTCCTGGACAGAAGTTTTGTCCCCAAAATTCATTATGTTGCAAAGCCTATGTCATAAGGGGCAGAGGAAAGGCAAGATAAATAGTTTTACATTTCAAGAAGTTTCCAGATGCCAAGTACAGAACTGCACACTGTAATCCCTCCTGGTGGGGAGAGTAATACAGGAGGATAGCAAGTTCAAGGTCATCCTGGGCAACTCAAGGTAAGGAGACCCTGTCTCAAAAAATAAAAGGGGCTGAGAAAATAGCTCAATGACAGAGTGCTTGCTCAGCATGCACAGGTCCCTAGGTTAAATCCCTATTATTGCAAAAATTAAAAATTGCCAAAGAATTATCACAATTAGGTCCTCAAGTTTAATCTTCATTATTGTTTCCGAAAATAAACCAAGTCTTACATTCACAGCCTTTGTCACAGCACAGCAGCTGACATATTTTCCCTGGTAACCAAGAGGCGCAAGTTTGGGACGTTGCTTCTCATTGGCAAAAAAGAGAGACCTATGGCTAGATAGCCCAAACTTCTTTTTTTCTCTCTCAATTTTACAACCCTAATAAAAACTATAATTAAAATGATATAATAGTGTTTAGTGAACATTGTCAACTTATAATAACAATGTTTTCTTGTTTGTTTTCATCAAAACAAGTTGAAATTATGGGAGTTAGAAATTTGGCTATACTGTATTAAGACACAGCTTCCTTTGGAGTTGATTAACTTGCCAGTATGGTTCTGGGTATTAGATGGTCTTCTGATTCTCTTTTAATTTCACTTCCAGTATAAACAATGTGTTTCAGTCTCCCTTCCTCTTATTGATTCCCTTATTGAACTAACACAAAATATGTTTTTCATTAATTAGTTAACCTTTTCTATTAACTAGATTTTCCCCCAGATTTCTTCTTCCTCAAACAATGATGTGATTGGGAAAATCCAGGTACCTCCCTAAAAGACAAATCCTTGATGAAAGAGATTCACAGTTAATGCCCATGGAAATTAGATGATTAGGATTTATTTTGATTGTTCCCACTTTGGAAACTCTGCCACAATGGCAGACGTGGACATCTTACCATATAGCCATAATGAGGAATACTCAAGTACTCAAGCCATGAGAGCCAAGGTGTTGTGGTGCCAAAATTCAGAGTCATACCCAAGATGACCTAAAAAAAGCAAAATCAAGTGTCATGAAGACTCTAGACAAGACCCTATATAAGAACTTTGCAACCTTCTAAACATTTCTACTAGGACCTACTCTTTCTTGAAATTTCTTCCACTTACTTCTAAATACTGATTTTAGTCCTTTGCATGTATATATCTCTGCATGCTTAAGGCAGTTTATGGTGTTAAAGTAAGAACAATGTACCTGTAATCCATATAATACATTCCACTTATTTTGGGAGATTTTTATTATCAAGACTCTGTCCTTAAATTGCTCTGCAACTGTATACAATAAAGATTAAGAACTAAGGTCATCTCTTAGTATCTGACAGGGATTAGTTACAGGAGCCTCCAGCAGCTCCCACCCACAGATACCAATATCTGACAATCTTATATCTCTAATTTTGAAAATGGCATAATATTTGATACAATTATGTATATCCTTTATGCTTTAAATATGCAAATTCTGTATTTTTAATAAAATCATTTCCATATTTCTTTTGAAACACAATACAAGTCAACCACCAAGTAAAAATTTATACTGTATGGTTTTGGGACAAATGACAAGAAAAGGAAAAGTGTACATTTTCAGTAGAGATGCAAATTTTGTTTTAACACCTGCACCCCCCCCCCCGCACCATGGTTGGTTGAATCTTTGGATGTGGAACCCATGGACATGAAGGGCTGATGGTACTGACTACTCAAATTATACCTCCACTATCTGTCCCACTCATAAACTTGGACATCTAAAATATACACCAGAAGAATCCTGAGCATCACATGCTCCTCTCTACTTCTACACAATAATAAGAGTTGTCATTACAAGGGTTTGCTTTTTGTACCCATGCCTGTAGGAAAAATTTGGGATTCAGAATGTCAGCTTAAATACCCCTAAGCCTAAAAATAAAAAAAATTAATAATAATAACATGGTGAATTCAGCAGAACACAGTCAATATCTCTATTTTAAGCTATCAGAAAGCAGTATAGTGGAGATGCCAGGAAGGACTGCTAGAGACTAACAAGAGACAGCTATGAGGTTCACATAATACTTGTCCTAACTGATGTGAGGTGCACTGGGATATGCAGAACAATGACAATGTTGGGGGGTGTGTGCATATGTTTAGACTGGACCTAACTAAGTACTTGGTATACAATAGCAACTCTGAGCGAAATATTGTTTTATGATTGGTTTTTTAAATTCCATATGAAATTCTTTATATAATAATTAATCAAAGCATCACATCAAAGAAAAGCTCATTTATTGAAAGATATTTTGTTTGTTGTACAACAGCATAGGAACTATAACAAGATCCTTTTCTCAATGATATACATTGTAGTTGCCAAATTCATAAATTAAACTTTAGCAAGAGCTTATGCTAAATATGTATCATTGAAAAACAACTCCTACTGAAGCAGAACAGACATGTGTATTAATAGGATGAGCACTCCTGTTTAGTTCATGTCACAGGGAGAAGGTTGGTAGCAATTATCAGCTGATTCATCATTTTGAGTGCAAAATTCTAAGCATATAAGATTAGAACTAAGTAAACATTAAAAAATCCTAAAAGATGTAGAAATATTTTGATATAAGAGAACCTCAGGATCCCACAAGGGAGGGAACCCAGCACTGTGGACTTTGGAATTTCTAGTGCTTTCAATACTTCTTTTCAAAATATGAGAGGCGCTCCAGTTAGACTTTCCATGCCACACACTGTCAAACTCCTCATGGATCTTCACTTTTGCCTTTAAGCCTACATAATCCAAAAACCAAACCATCTCTGCTGATTACAGACCTGGCAATTCTCTAACACCAGCATGAAGGTCAGGCACAGAATCTGTTTTTTATGAGGGAATTGGCTAATCATAATTTTCTGGGATTTGAGTTTCCAATTTATCAAGGTTTCATGATACATCACCCAGAAGTATTTTTAAAAGCTCATTAGTGAGGATTGGTTAAAAGTTAGAATAACAAAATTAGGACTCTAGCAAAAAGATTGCATAAGGACCAGGAGGAAAGTGGTACATTCTCTAATATCCACTGTGTGGCCTCTAAAAATATTGGAGTCCCACACAGGATCCTAACAGCAAGTTTTAAGGACAAGTGAAGAAGCAGGAAAGAACAAGGGAAGAGATTCCCTCTCAAAGCAGTACAGTTCACACTCACCATCATAAACACAAAATAGACAGTCACAAGAAATGTCTTTATTTCCATCGCCTTCTCCCCTGCTCCCAGGATCATTGCCATGGTACCGGTGGCATAAGCCACCAGCAAAACAATAATCATCAACGTGAAGAAAGCCCCCACATCTGGTTTCAACCCTTAGAAGGAAAAAAGAGTTAGTCCAGCTTCCTAGGTCACCTTGTATTTTAAATTATTTATTTTGCCAATAATACTACAACATTCTGATAAACTAATATCAGAATAAAAAAAGTCACCTACTATCGAACTATCATTATTGTTTCCTTCCATGTAACCACATAAAGTTATCATATGCTTTTCTTTTTTACATTTACTGCAAAAGCACTTTTCCATGTAACATCCATGCTCCTCTATGTGTAATGATGAACAACTTCTAAGTGGCTGAGATGGAGGGATAGGGGCAACAAAAATGGTCACAATTCTACTGTCACAGGAAACTCCTCAACATCCCATTCACGTACCCAGACATCTCCACATTGTTCATTGTTTTCTGTAAATGATTAGTGAAGAAACAGGGATCAGGATTTTAAGATCCCATAGTGGGAGGAAAAGGGGACTACTCGGGACTGAACTGTAGCAAATTTAATTCCGTGCTTGCATAATCATGTCTGCATTAACCCCAAAATTATGTATAACTATAATACACTAATAAAACATTTTCAAAATACCCGGGGGAAGGAAAGTTATCCTCATAACCTAAGACCCTCTAAACAAACCACCACATAGTTCTGATTGAAAGTGGGCTAATTAAGTTTCCTAAAGTAGTCTATATACTATAATGAGCTAATGTTCTGTGTCATATCACCTGAGGGTTTGTGAAGAGTTGTAAGAACACTTATCAGAAGTCTAGGGGTTTCGATTCCATGATTAATTCTTTCTGACAAACCTGATTTGTAAAATGGACGCTTAAGATCTATCAGTGGTTGTTATCCTGCAGTATGTTGTCAAAAACAGATATTTTGTGTGTGTGTGTGTGTGTGTGTGTGTGTGAGAGAGAGAGAGAGAGAGAGAGAGAGAGAGAGAGAGAGAGAGAGACAGAGAGAGAGAGACAGAGAGAGAGAGACAGAGAGAGAGACAGAGAGAGAGAGACAGAGACAGACAGAGAGAAATTCTGATGCAGTATCTGAAGTGAAAACTGAGTCTAATGCATAAAGGAATCCATCTACACCCATCAAATAATATTTTTTTGAGAGAGAGAGAGAATTTTTTAATATTTATTTTTTAGTTTTTACTGGACACAACATCTTTATTTTATTTTTATGTGGTGCTGAGGATCAAACCCAGCCCCCTGCACATGCCAGGTGAACGCGCTACCGCTTGAGCCACATCCCCAGCCCAAATAAGTATTTTTATTACATAAATGAACACCAAAGTTATCATCTTTCTTTCTCTGATTAGAGAGGAGAAGAAGAGAATATATGTGTATATTGATATTTTTATCCCTCTCAATACATTCCTATACACATTAGAGATATTACCTCTCTGTATTTTATCTCTACATAGAGACATATAGATAGAGAGAATAGATAAGGCAAAAATATCAACTAGTTTATAATTTCTTTAATGTTTGTGTATGACACCCAGCAACTCTGTGTGTCAGGGATCAGGATTTTAAGACACACAGCATCTCTGTGTGTCATACACAAACATGGAAGAAATTATAAACTAGTTGATATTCTTGGCTTATCTATTCTCTCTCTCTATATATATATACTGAGAGCAGTAAATTGAAGTTTTATAAATAGTTTTTAAGTTTGGTTGGCCCAGTCACAGGGGTGCATACTAGCAATCCCTGGTGTCTGGGAAACTGATGAAGGAGGATCCCAAGTTCAAAGTAGGCCTGGGCAATTTATCAAGACTCATCTCAAAACAAAACAAAAATAAAATTTCTGGTGATATAGCAGAGTGGTTATAGCACTTGCCTACCATGCTCACACTCTGGTTTCAATTCCTAGTTTTTGTTAAAAAAAAAAATTGCCTGGGAAAAATCTTGACAACAATGCCATCAGTGAACACTTATTTTACCAGAATGCATGGAGGGTATATGTACTTCCATAGCTTAAATACAGCTTTGTTTGTAGTTTTAATAACCATGAACATGCTCGAGAGAGAAATGAGCATCACCTCATATTCAAGACTAAACACATCTTCATCTTGCTACTTACCTAACATGAAGTATAGTATAGAAGTAAATATAATAGTTGGAAACAACCTCCGGGGTATTAATTCAGATAACAGTTCCCCAAGGAAATAAGGCAACACTCTGTAGTATCCACTGAGGTACTCATGTCTGCAGAACAAAAACACACACCACACAGCCCAGATGAGATGCTGCTGTGCAGACTCCTGCTGCCACCAGGTCTGACACTGCAGCTGCCCACAGGCTCCAGACTGACCCCCCATGCCCTTCTTTATCTCAGGGCAGCCTCCCCAGGGTATCAGCTCCATGAGGCTCTTACTGTGACCCTCTCTCATGTTATCACTTCTCCTGCTGCTGCCCATTCTGGCCCACATCACCCCTTCAAGGAGACAGTCTTTGTCTCCTCACATCTCCTCAGAGACCCTGCTTCTCCTCTGAGGCTGGTTTTGCCTGAACAGCAGCACTTGAGAGGCTAAACTCAATAGTAAGAGTCTTTTCTTCTCTCCACTTCCGATTATGAAAAAGGTGACTTTATTATTTTCCAAGGCCCCCAAATGCAGGTGCAATATCCTAAATTCTTTTTACTTCTGCTGCTCTTGTTTCAAAAATAATTTTTTTTAAAATTTTTTAATACTTATTTATTAGTTTTCGGCGGACACAACATCTTTGTTTGTATGTGGTGCTGAGGATCGAACCCGGGCCGCACGCAAGCCAGGCAAGCGTGATACGGCTTGAGCCACATCCCAGCCCCACAAAAATAATTTTTTAAAAAAACTTCCTTCAATAATCATGTCTTTCAACATACACCATTTCAGATACCAAATCCTCATCTTTCCTCTTCCTGATGTCTCTCTCCCATAATTTCAAATTCTTCCACCACTGTCCTCATTGCTATGTTCTCTGAAGATTCCTGTCCTTGGCATGTACATATGGGCTAACTCTTGCATCTTCGAAAAGCAGAGGCAACAAAACCAACCTGCCTTTTACTGTAAGGCTGCCCTCTGGCTCTTTCCACTCCTCCATCCACAGAGGGCTAAACTAAGTCACATTCTTTGCCAATTTTATTTCCCATCTCCAATTTGCTGCTGACGCCACCACTTACTCTCTACCAAACTTTTCTTGCAAGGGTCACAATGAGCTGTTATTTCCTGAAAACATAAAGATACTTTCCACCTCGATTATTGCTTGCTTTCTTGCAGCACTGGGATTGGCTGGTCATAGCTAACCACAAAACTCTCTTTCCTTTAATGGCACACTCTACACACCCTTGATTTTTTACCCTCCCACGACTGCATTTTCTCAGTCAATATTGGTAATCCCTAGCTATATCTCAAAAGTTCACACTGTGAATGGTAAGTCTATACATTTTATGGCAAATCTCCAAGATCACATCCTTGTCCCAATCCTAGAAGTGACCTGTATGACCAATAGATACTGATAGATACTGATGCCCCTTTCTGAAACAGAGACCAACTCACTTGAAAATTTTCTTCTGGAGCTCAAAGATCTCCCCAGCTGTCACACTGCTTAAACACTGGAAGACAACCAGCACGTAGAGTGCCCAGGCTCTGCCAGGACAGAACAGGAACAAAAGTATTGCAGTCATGTCAATGCCATTAGCTCAGTTTTCTACCCACAAACTCTTTCCATAAAAGACATAACATTAAATAGATTTTTTTTTCTTTCAAGTTGCAGAACTATTCTGGTTAAAACTAAAAGGGAAGCATGAACCCTTAAGGTTTCTCCGCATCTCTATCTCCACAATAGTGCCCCTGTAGTTCCATATTATAGCCCTATTTGAAACTCATAGTCTTAGCTGACTGTAAACTGAATCTTTGAAAAGCAGAAGAGACAAAACCAACCTGCCTTTTGCTATAAGGCTGCCCTCTGGCTCTTTCCACTCCTCTATCTACTAAGGACTAAACTATGTCACATTCTTTGCCCATTTTATTTCCCATCTCCAATTTGCTGCTGACGCCACCACAAAACTCTCTTTCCTTTTGTGGCACTTGTTTCAAAATAATTTTTTAAAAAAACTTAAACCCTTGATTTTTTACCTTCCTATGACTGCATTTTGAAATTGATATATGGAGGCAATAATCTCCAATATGTGGGTATTTAGAACTAGGTGACTTAGGAAATATTAAGGTTAGATGAGGTCATCAGAGTACAGATCCCAAGATGTGATTAGAGTCTTTATAAGAAGAAGAATGATCCTGCAATCTGTACACGTGGAAAAATGAGAATTCATACCCTATTTGAATCAAATGTATGATATGTCAAGATCATTGTATTGTCTTGAACAATAAAAAAGAAAATAAGTTTAAAAAAGAAAATAAAAAAAGAAGAAACATCATAGCATACTCTACTGTGAGGGTACAGAGTGAGGCTGCTACCTGAAAGCCAGAAAGAGACTGACCCTCCTGGAATGGAACCCTGAGCTCAGATTTCCACACTCTAGAATTACGGGAAAATAAACTTCTATTGTTTAAGCCACCATATCTATAGCATTTTGTCATGGCAACCTGAGCTAATTCACAGGTCACAGAAATAGTATCACCTTCAATTAAAAAAGAAAATGACCAGTATCATTCTAATGTATATTTGGAAGATCAATAAAGAACTTTGAAATTAATTCTCAGCAGTTTTGAGATATATATTAGTATTTACTATATTCATCACATTGTATAATAAAATCTCAAAGGAAAAAAAAAAACCTTTATTCCTCCTGAGACTTTGCACACTTGACCACCCTCTCCCTTTACTTGACCACCCTCTCCCTTTTTGCCTTCCCCTCAGCCTCTGGCAACCACCATTCTTTCTACTCTCTGCTTCTAAGAGCTCAATTTATTTACCATAATGTTGTCCACTTCCATCCATATTGTCCAATATGACAAAATTTCTTTCTTAGAGCTGAACAGTACTCTACTGTGTATACACATCTCACTTTCCCTATTCATTTATCTGAGGATGGACACTTAGATGGAATCAACAACTTGGCTATTGTGAAGTGTACTTCAGTGAACATAGAAGTGCAGATATCTCTTCAACAAACTGATTTGAAATCTTTCATGTTAATACCCAGAAGTGAGACAACTGGATCCAATTATTTTAAAAACGCCTTAACTTTTTTTTTTTTCTAATTCGTTTATCTGTTATCATAAGCCTATACAGCTATGGAGTTAAAGGAGTTCACACTCCATAAAGGATTGAAACCCATTTCCTCAGCTACACAGGTGAGAGAAAATGCAAAGACAGTGCTTGATCCCAAAGAAGAATTAAAGGTTTGGTCTCTCCTGATATTCACCCCTGAGGGAAGCTTTAAAAACTTGATTCCAGAAATGAAATTGAAACATCGTTTTCTAATCAAAAGAAGCAATGAATGATCACCCCAGGACAGATTAGAAAAGCTACACACAGAGGCCATTTTCACATAATTCAACTTTTTATTTAAAAAATGGTAGTTAATATAGGCAAAAATACAAATTAAAACAAGGAAAATGTCCAATTTCTCCAGAAAACATCTGAAGAAATTACTAAAGCTCTCTTATATTCTCTGGAATTTTTTTTACTAAGACCTTTAATGCTTGGCTTTTTAGTTTGTCTTTATTTTCAGTTAAGGATAGCTTTCTTAATATTTTACTCAAATGCTTCCAGACACATAATATGGGCACAGTCTCTAGGTCCTGTTGGATTAAGAAGT